TGTTGTGTTTCTCACAAAGAGTCAACCATCTTCGCACAGCCCGTGGCGCCATCTCTAGTCAGTTCTGCCATGTTCGCGAATGTTCACTTTCGTGCATCGCCACAACACATCTGTAAGAGCTTCTAAGTATTTATTGGTGTCGAGGAGCCACTTCCTTCTCGTATCAAAGTTGAACAGATTCATAGGTTTCTTGAATCCCTTTCCCTTCGCCTTAGAGTTAATGAAATCAAACAACTTGTCTACAATACGGATGAACTCTGTGGTCTTCTTGCTTCCAGCAAATTCTGGTAGGTGTAGGTCTTCTCTGAGAAAATCTATCGCATCTGCGACGGACGAACTCAGTGCCTGTACGGCCACCTTTACATTCATTTTGTGTTGTTGCCACAAAATGTGTTTTGTTTTTAGCTTGTTTGCCAGGTAGAGGTTATCTTTTTGTTGTATCTCGTGTAATTTTTCAATGTAGGTCCAGGATATCTGCTCCCCATCATGAAAAATTGTTCCAAGTGTGGCTAAACAGTTCCTAACCAACTTTATCAGGTGGCACGCATCGAATATGAAGTATACCTTTTGGTTTTGATCAGAAGGGTGAGGGAAGTATGACTCGATTGCTCCTGGGACGATGGGACAGCCCACTAAAGATGCTGTTGCTGGTTTTCAATGAGGAAGTTGTGCAGACAACAAGCTGCAAGGATGAGATTTTCAACGAAATCTGGTTCTAAGGCTATGGGGGCTAAAAACACTCTAAACCTGTTGGCAAGAATGCCGAATGAATTTTCGACTACTCTCCTTGCTCGACTTAATCGGTAATTAAAGATCCGTTTTGCATGCTCAAGATTCTTGTGTGGGTATGGCTTCATTAAGTCAGGCCTGAGAGGAAACGCATCGTCCCCTATAATATGATAGTTGCATTTTGTGTCACTGACTGGTGTGTTCTCAGGTGGTGGAAAGTCCAATGACTGGTTCTGCATTGCTTGCAACAGTGATGATGTTCTAAAAATTCCAGCATCACCACTTCTACCCGTGGAACCAACATTAACGTACAAAAACCGATAATCAGCATCAGTCAATGCAAACAATACTACACTGAAAAAGTGCTTGTAGTTAAAAAACTCCGACCCTGTCCCACAAGGCTGTCTTATGGCGACATGTTTGCCATCCAAGGCACCAAGGCAGAATGGATAGTTCCATTTCCTATAGAAGTTAACAGCAACTTGCTTCCATTCTTGACTTGTATTTGGGACCTGCAATTAGATAAGGTATACATGTACATTTCTACAAGGTATACATATCAACGCATTTCTATTTTCAGCAGCCTGCAGTGTTTGAAATAAATGATGATTGTAATGCGTATACCAACAGCAGTCTTTAACACCAATTCATTCGTTCATCATTTATTATATTATCGACAAACTTCGACGATGATCATAGACGAAAGATTGACTATAATACAAAAGAAAATGAACAAAATAAACTCCTGTGGCTATTTCCCTCTTAAACATCATGTCTGTTGATACTTGTCCGCAATATAATACATCTACTATTTCTATTACACGAGTAATTAGTGATCCCATATGCATATACATTATATTACATTACTGTATCGTACAATACATAGCGTAAATAGACTAAATATACAGTGAGGGGAATCTAATCGCAAGCGCATATATCTGTGCGCTGCATGACGTATAAAAGTTAGACCTTGTATTAGTAATTACCGTATCGTTGACTCTGGTATTCTTCCGTTACACACTGAACCGTATACACACCACTCGACCGTCGTAACTCACAAAGCCTACTGCCTGCGTTCACTGTTTTGCACCCGAACCCACCCAAAACCAAAACTAAAACCAAAACCGTCCGGACTATCATACGCAAGCCATACGCTAAAAGACGTCATTTGGGAAGTAATTGTTGGTTGGCCGCTACATACCGGCCCCTTAATTGTGGCCTTATACACAATTATCTTGATACAAAAACGGCCAACATAAACTAAATCGTTCTACCAAAATCAACCGCAATTTCCAACTCTTTGCAACACTCTAAGTGTTCCTCACGACAGACGAAATATTTGCTACGACAATCAAAACTTTCCATTTCTACACAGCTCGCACACTAATCATTAGAGTCTGATTCCAGAATGAGACAAAGTTTTGCCACAGGACGCGTTAACAGTGTCGAGGCGGTCTTGACCTTTACCACCCTCACAATGCCGTTCTTGTCTTTCATGACATCATCTTCCACTGCCCTTTCACATGTTAATGGGTCGGTTTCATAAGACTCGATAGCTATCTTGATCTGCCGTGTCCACTTCACGGCAAGTCGTAGGTTGTCCATAGCAATCATCAGCCATCCGGTTATTCTCTTCAGCTTTGACCAGTCTGAGAAACTCGCCATTAGCCTCTCCATTCCGTCGCATGACTCGGATATGACTGTCGGTATCGTGTTGACCATCTTCTTCACCTCGGCATCATCAACTGTCATAGTAGTATCCTGCGGAAAACTCGGCCATTCAGACTCTGCTTTCCACAAGAAATCCGGCCCGTTTAACCACAGGGAGTGCCGAACGAAGTTAGTAATAGCCATTCCTCTCGATGCACAATCTGCTGGGTTCTGTTTCGTGTTCACATAGTGCCACTGATCCACCTGGGTTGCCTCATGAATAACAGCTAGCCGATTTGCGACAAACGTATGGAAGCGCAAGTTCCTGTTGGCTATGTACCGCAGTACCGATGCACTGTCCGTCCAGTAGAAGGTCCGGTCAATGGAATAACCTAGCTGTTCCGAAATCATCTTGCAGAGTCACGGCAGCCGCTGCTGCGGTGAGCTCCATCCTCGGCACTGTTACAGCCTTCAAGGGGGCGACTCTGGCCTTTCCCAAGAGAAAGGAACATTGAACCTGTCCACTATCATCAACGAGGCGCAGATAGAATACCATTCCAAGACCCATGTCACTGGCATCTGAGAAACTATGCAGTTGACAAGACACAACTTGCCAAAGTTCTGTGGTGCAAAGTTGACTCAGCCAGTCGTTTCAATGTCTCGGATCGGCACCTGTGATCTCCTCATCCCATCCAATTTGACGTTTACACAATCCCTGAAGTATGGACTTGGCGATCAGCACAAAGGGAGATGCCGCTCCAAGTGGATCGTACACTGAACTCACTATCAACAGGATACCTCGTCTTGTGGTTGGTCTATCTCGCACCTGAATCTGAAATCTAAGCGAGTCATTCTCAATGGACCAATAGACACCCAGGGCTCGTTCACTTGGCAATTCTGTACCCGGACTCCACAGCTTTTCTTCTTTAGCTCGACCATCCTTTGGCACAGATTCCATTACTGCCGGGCTGTTACTGATCCATTTCATTAAACGGAACCCTCCTTTCTTGCACATCATAGTCAGATCTCGAATGAGCGAAACCGCCTCCTCATCTGAGGGAACCGAAATTAGGCACACATACATGTTCTCCATCACTGTACCTGCGACCTGTTGGTCGAACTCTTCTCCATTCTCGTTTGCCGTACGCTGAAGGGCATAGTTGCACACACTAGGAAATGATGTCGCCCCGAAAATGTGAACTGTCATTCTGTATGCGACTGGTTCCTTCTCCATGTCGCCCGTAGAGTTATCTGGCAATGTGACGTTGCGGTCCCAAAAGGGAAGAGCAATGCAGTCATGTGCTCCCTCCCGATGGATTGACTCACTGACCTGTCGCAAGAAACTTCCGTCCTCCATAGAGTTCTCTTTTTTGTTATCTATCAGGCATTCCGGGAAGTCAAAGTTCATAGATTTTCTCACCATTTCCTCTAACTGCCTATCATCCCGAATCCTATCTTCGATGTGTACCCTGTTCACTTCAGGGTTGGGTTGTCTCTAATTACGTTCCAGACGATCCATCCGACTCTGGTCCTTGTTGCATGTGGTGATCCAGTGGCACCCGTGAGAACCTCAAATGGAGTATAGGCATCAGGTACGTTACTTCCAATCATAAGTCCAACTTTCGCCTTTATCGCTGGTATGCGTACTTCAGACAAGTGCGACCATCGGGATATTTCTTCCTGGTTAGGTATATGGTCCCTTGTGACAGGCATCCGTTCCTTCGTGTAGACTCTTGGTAAGTCGATGACGTTCTCCATGACGAGGTCACTAACCTGAAGTCCATTCAGCGCATATGTGTTCATTTTGAAAGGTTCACCCATGGTGCTCAATGTAAGCTGAATCTTCTTACCACTGCCTCCCAACTGCCTCATCACGCTTTCCGTGCAAAAGGATACACTACTACCCGAATCGAAGAAAGCGTATGTCTCTATGCTGTGAGATCTGTTCTTCAGCTTTACTCTTACTGGAATTATAGCCATAGCACATGAAACATCACCGGCCCCTGCTTGACCATTAGTATCAAGAGGATAGCTCATACAAACGCTGGGGTTTCTTTTTTCTTTTCAGTTTCCTCGGTCTCCCGGCGTCTAGCCGTCTCAGTTGATGGCCTCCTAGACTCGTCCTGAAGAATAGTGGGATGCTGCCTTCTACAGACATCACATGTTCGTCTGACTCTACACCTCCTTGCCATATGGCCCTTCTTCAGACACCCAAAGCAAAGTCCTTTGCTTCTCAAGTGATCATATCTTTCCTGCAGGCTCACATTGACTATGCCCTTGCAGTTCTCCAGGGAATGAGATCTAGATTCACAGTATGAACATTTCGATTCAGTGACTGCCTTTGGCCTTCTCTGACACTTCACAAATAGCATTGAGAACAGAGTTATTCATCCTGATTGTGGTGCGACCGTTTAACGATTGATCCTTACTCATGTGCATCCCTACTGCTGTATTGCCATATGTGGGGTCGTTGGCTTTCTTTGCTTCTGCTTTCACGAGACGAACGAGGTCAGCAAATTTCACAGTTCTATGAGCTTCCTTTGTTCTCAGAACTATGCTCCTCCATCTGTCGTGTAGGTGAAATGGAAGCTTTCCCATCAGTCTCTTGACATTCTCCGAGTACTCCCGGACACTTCCTGCACCAATACTCCCCACAGCATTCTCGCATTCTACCAGGAACAAGGAGAATTCGTCGAGCGCCTCTGCATCTCCAGCTCGTACCATGGGCCAATCGAGTGCCTTCTTGATAAAGGCTGTAGCGATAACATTGTTATCACCATAGCGCTCCTCTAGCTGCGCCATCGCTGCCTTGTATGCCTTTTCTCCAGTCACGTGACTAAATCCTGAAACCACTTTATGAGCCTCACCATGTGTCAACTGCTCTAAATAGTTCATCTTCTCTTCATCGTCATCCGTATTGGCTACCACCTTTGCCTGAAATTGCCGGAGAAACCTTCTAAACTCTAGTGCATTGCCTCCAAACTTCTTTATTTCTGGCACCCGCTTCCTGAGTTGCCGTACGACAGAATGTCCATGCAAGGGTCTCAATCCATCTCACAGTTTCAGCCACTTGGGTGTCCATGATGTCTCTTGTGTCAATGACTAGTAGGTCTTAGCTGTGTTCCAGAAATGTATTCCCCATCTCTTTCAGCACTGTCACAAGTGCCTTAACCTCCTTCACGAATGCTGCTTGCACTCCACGTTGCTGGCCATCCACTTGGGCTGGGCCATGGTGAGGGTGTCCAGTGTCAACAGCCTCACCCTGTTGCTTTATGGCCTGTTCCTCAAACTCTAGTAATCCTGGCAATTTCTGGCCCTGCTACCATCCAGCGTCGGAGTGCTCCTGTCAGTCCTATAGCTCCACCAGAACCTTTTACCATTGCATTGTTTTGCTCATGGGACTGGTCAAGTGCCATAGCAGAGAACTTGTTGCTGGTTTTGTGCACCACAAAGTTTCCAGACTTAAATTCTGCTAGGACATCTGGGTGTTTTTCAGCAAGCGCCGTCATGTCACGGATGTGTACGGGAAGCCACCTGGAGTAGTGCGTATGATCTAGGGCAAACATCCAGGGCATGATCTGTGTCAGGGATTCCACGTACAGATGGAAGTTACCTTCACGAAGTGACCTGATGTACCGCAGCAAGAGAAGCTCCAATGACAGGACCTTAAGCCAGTAGTCAAAGTGGACACTGGCCCTTGCTCGCTGTAGGCACCACTCCTCAAAAGACGGACTATCTGCGTGCATGGCATCAGTATCATCGGATGTGCAGTCTTCACTGTAAGCTTGTTGGAGGAGTTCATAAAGGCTTGCAGTTGTGACCTGGTGTGCATGGCGGGTCTTGACAGTCGACAGCCCGGATATCTGTGTGAAGCGCGAAAAAGGCTGCGTAGCGGCACACTAACACAACTTCGCTGCACCTATTCAAGATACTATTATACTTGAACGGGTCCACTATAGACGCCAAAGCAGTATAATTGCTGAATTGAGCAGTTCTGGCCATTGCACGAGGGGTTTGACTAGGGTCCCTATATACAGAGAGTTGCGCCAACTCAGGATTTGACGCCATGTTGTTTCCAAATGGATCAACACCGCTGCCGCTTAAGTACAGCGCTGTATGGATACGCTGTACAATGGTCCGTAGTAATTAATTAGACTAATCGTGCGAGATTATAGAGATTATAGCTAAGACATGTGTCTATGTGTAGCTAGATTTATGGAAACGTAACTCAAAACGTTCGCGCCATATGATAGTTTAATTGTA